GAGAAAGTGCTCAAGAAATTTGATACCTATGACGGTGCACAGTCTAGGTGTAAGACACCCATTGATCTTAGTATAAATCTGGTAGCCAATAAAGGTCAACCAGTGGCTCAGTTGGAATATTCACGGATAATAGGGAGTCTGATGTACTTGACGAATTGTACACGACCAGACTTGGCCTATCCGGTGAATAAGTTGAGCAGATTTACGAGCAATCCCAATCATGAGCACTAGAATGCTTTGAGAAGGGTACTTAAAGTACTTGAAGTACACCCTTGAATACGGGCTAAAATACTCGAGATACCCAGCCGTACTTGAAGGGTACTGTGATGCAAGCTGGATATCATATTCGAGAGATTCTCGCTCCACTAGCTGATATGTTTTCTATATTGGAGGAGGTGCAGTTTCGTGGAAATCCACAAAACAAACGTGTATAGCTCGGTCAACGATGGAATCGGAGTTCATAGCTTTAGATAAAGCTGGTGAAGAAGCCGAGTGGCTTAGAAATTTTTTATCCGATATTCCATGTTGGGATAAGACTTTGCCGCCTGTGATGATTCACTGTGATAGCGAAGCTGCTATAGGTAGGGCGCAAAGCAACTTGTATAACGGTAAGTCTCGACATATTCGTCGTAGACATAATACCGTACGCCAATTGATCAATTGGTAGTTTTGCTAGAAGGAATGGGCTTTAAAATCTACAATATAAAGAATGACCATAGTGGCAACCCTACCATGTTGAATGAAGATCCCACAAACTTGGTTCAAAGGAAAAACTAAGCTATGAAAATTCAGTTGAGCACTTGGAACATATGAATGTCCAAAGCTATTCCTTAGAGCACTCCAAGTGCTGATGACCTGTTGATTGTGGTAAGGGTAAGTCATGTGGACTTTTAATGAATCCATAACCTTGTAAAGGTGGAGTAATACAGGATACTCTTGATAGGGATATAAGTGTGAAGTGTGGGCCGCTTCAAATGTAAACACTTATGAATCCATTGTGTTGTCCATGGCCAAAACGGACATAATGATAGAACGAAATGGAGTTAAGACTCTATTGTGTAAATGTCATTGTCTAGGTGTACATTATGGAGGAATAGTTCAAGGCATTATGTCAACTAGGCCGCTAGTGCATCCGATGATATTTACTAAGAAAGGTTCAAAGTCAAAAGCTACCTTTTCTGTTGCAATAGAGTTTTGTGAGAATTGAGCACATTAGTATTTATATTTAATTTACACTCATGTGGGGGATTGTTATAAAATTGTGAGTGTAATATTAATTGTTTTGGACAACCAAACCAAAACCACTATGTATAATTAATTGATTTGGACAACCAAACCAAAACCACTACCACGTTAGGACAACAAATTCCTCAACCTCCATGTGATTTGAGTGTTATTAAATTGGTCATCCAATCAATTCTGCAATCACTTTAATAATTGTAATAATAATTAATAATTGCAATTTGTGAGGAGGAAACTGCATGGAACAGTTGGATATTTGGCCAACTTGATCAATTTATCACTATAAATAGAGGGCTCGGCAGAAGGAGGAAAACACAGAAGAAAAGAAGAGAAAGATAGAGATAAAGAAAGAATAGAAAAATATAAAAATATTTATTTGTTATCAAAATAACAAAAGAGAGATATTTTTATTCATAATTTTAAGTGCTCAATTCTCGACTCCGTTTCAGTTCGCCGGAGCTCGTAAATCTGGTGTGCTACGGATTTAGAGACGTTTGCCGTTGTATCTTTGGGGAAGTTACGCCTGAACCGTTAGCTGCCACACGGGACGTATTCTTCTTGCGGAAAGAGTTTTACTTGTCTCGGCTAAAATCTTTCCGTTTTAAGTTTTAATTTACTTTTCAGTTGTAATTTATTTTTCAGTTCGATTGTAATTTTCTATTTTTTAGATTATTTATAAGAACTGAAAAATACATATTCAGTTCGTAGGATTCCCGTGTATTTTATACTCAGTTTCTGACAGATAACTCGATCTAAGAGAATTTTTAAGGAAGCAGCTCGTCCACTAGCTCGATAGGACACTAACCTTTCAGTTTGGTCTATAGAATGGACGCCTTACTTTTAGTGGAGATTGGAGTTAGCTTACACCAGTAACATATTTTGATTTCAATGGGAATGAAAGGTTGGCAAAATATAGTGAGTTTGAGTTAAAGTTGAGTTAGATTTGAGTTGAGATTAATTTTTTTTTAGTTTTTAGTAACAAGCAAGGCCTTAGCTTCTTTAGAATTCATCTAAATATAAGAAATTTTTGTCACTTTCCTTCATTGCTTTTGTTTTTCTTTTAAAAACTCTTAGAGCTCTAATATACGGCTTTTTATATCGACCACTAAACCATAATACTGTATGCATTGTGTTATCTCTCTCTCACGGTCTCACCGGAATCACTTATTATACATCAATGTATACATATTGCTATTTGGTAATATATTATTATTATTTTTATCTAACTTGTTAATTTATCAAGTAGATGTTTCTTTTGATTTGAGGACAATATTAAGGGTAAAAGTCCCTCTTTCTTAAAATTATATAAATTACAATAAAATAATAATACTAATAATACCGATACGCCATTTGAAAATTATAGAGTACGTTTAGAGTGTGTTTGATAAGCACCATCTAGCGTATAACTTATTTGGTTAACTTATATATAAGCTTCTTGTATTCAAATAAATTTGATTTTGTAGGATGAATTTTTTTTAAAATACTCAAACTTATCTGATATACTTACTTGAGTAGCCTTTTAAATAAATTAATTGAAATTTTTATTTCAGCTAATTTATCAGCTAATTAACTAAACATTTTTATTATATAAGCTAGTTTTTCAGCCATAAATCATAAATTATCAACTATAAGCTTGAAATTTACTAGAATATCAACTAATTTATCAGCTCTCGATTAACTTATCAACTAGATTAACTTATCAACTAATTTTATCAAATATAGTTTTTAGTTAATTTATGGAGTCAGTCGTTTATCATGAATATTTAGCCAGAGAATATGAAGATACATACCTACCCCAACCGTTATAGTTGCTTGCTTGATGATGCGCGCGACGATGGTCCATTCCTCATGGGCAGGGTAGGTTTACCCCATTATCGTTGCTGCCAATGCCCCTAATTTTCACGTGTTTTCCTCTTTTTTTTTTTCTATATTTTTTCCATATTTATTTAGTCTGCCAACCCCAAGTGATGAGTCAAAATGTTGATAGGCTATATTTATGGTTCTGATTCAACCAATACAGAGATTATTCAAAGTTACAGGATATACTATCCCTAGGGTTGATAAATCTTATTAAATGCATGAGGATATATTTTCAAAATCAATTAACTAGATAACTGAGTTGGTATTGTAATTGTTTTTTATCGGTTTTGTTATGAAGCCAACAGTTGGCTCTATAGTGGAGCCAACCTTCTATATACAACAAATAAACCTACCATATTAATAAAATAATATTAGTGATATTTAAGTTATCAGAGAGTATGGTAAATTTATTTGTTGTATATAGAAGGTTGGCTCCACTATGGAGCCAACTGTTGACTTCATAGCAAAACCGTGTTTTCTATACTATAGTTTTTACAACCTAAAAAATTCTTAAATTACTTGCCCATGCCCCAGGCATGCTATTTGTTGTTTTCTTTTTTGTTTAGCTTTTCTTATATAGAGAACTAATTTATTCATGACTTGTAAATTCATGTAAAATTGTGGAAATAAAAACTAATAAAATAAATTTCTAGAAGAATGTCTCACTCTTTTTTAGAACTCTTTCATTGAGTAAGTATTTAGCCAACATGTACAAATAGAATGTACACTCTGAGAGCCCCTCTTATGATCTGCAGAATTATTAGATCCATAATTATGAGAATGAAATGAAATCTTTCAAGACTCATAGCAAGAATGACTATTTGTAGAAGTACGACATAGAATATTGTTGATTAGGCCTATGTTGTTAGTATTTGATGTTAAGAAGTTTATTTATAATAGAGCAAAATAGGTAATATATTAATATACATAACACATATTTTCACTAAGAAATTATTTATAACAAAGCAAAATATGTAATATATTAATATGTGATAAATGATTGAACAAATCGTATGACCATGAATAAAATAAGGGATATATTTTCTATGGCTTACATTATAAATCTAATTTTTTTTCAATTTTAGTTAATATTTTAATAAGTACTTGATACATGTTTTAGTAAATAAAATATTATTCATACAAATTTATTTATTTATATTTAAATAATTGATAACGAAGTGCAGTTTAAGTGGTAAAATGCTGATAGATCATAAATTCGAGTCAACAAAGAGGGAAAGTGATAATACTATTAATCCTATTTTTAAAGAAGAAAGAAAAAAAAAAGTTTGAATGTTATATTTCCATTTTTTTTTTTCACATTTTCGTTGATAAACTCTTTCTTTTTTTATTGTATAGGATTTTTATACTTTTCTCTTTTTTTTTCGTTTTTATTAATAAACTTTTTATTTAGTTATTGTATAGGATCATTAAAGACGTGTTTTCATACAAATGTATTTGCTCAAAATGAATTTTTTTAGATAGTTAATATAGAAAAAAATGTGATAAAATAAGTGTAAGTAAAATTGAAGTTAATGCGATGCTTTTTAAAAAACGTTACAAAGATAAAATAATAACAACACTTTTTAAAAAATGTAATAAAATTATGTCACTTTTATAAGAGTGTCACAATATTAATCAATATTGAGATGTTTACTTAAAGGTGTCATTAAATTATGACATTTTACACCAAAGTTTCGCCATATTTACATATATAGTGACATTCTTTGGAAAGCTAGTGTAATAAAATGATGTCACCTTTGAAGAAAATGTCACCTTATATACTAATATGATAACACTTATTTCAAAATGTAATTATTTTATGATACTTATACAATTGTATCATTTTTAAGTATATAACAACATTTAAAAAAAACATAATTATGTTATTAATGAAGAAAAAAATATCGAAATAATTTGGTTTAATAGAATAGTCTACAATTAAACACCTCCCCCTCTTCACAAAACCTACTCAAACACAACACATTCCTCACTTGAGTCACTTCGATCCTTTTCCTCTCATCGATTGACGAAACTCAGACCCATGGCCCGCCTCTTACTGCTTCTTGTAGTTGGGGTTTTAATCGACGGCGCGCAGACCGAATCGGAGTTTATCGCCACTGACAGCCCGATCAGACAAGTCGTCGTCGACAATTTGCTTTTTTTCCTTTATAAGAAGCTCCCACATACGCAAGGTCGGGGATTGACGGGAGCAGGTAATGCTTTCTCCTCTTCACAAAATCTAACAAATAAATTACTCTCATTTTCGAATTCTCAAACTTTCACCGCTACCATACATTAAAGGAGCAGCGGCGGTGGCGCAAAAGCTGGACTACGGCGGCCATTTGCCCGAGACCCGGTTTGCCGATGACAAAAGATTCCGACTCCAAGCAGATTTTGGTCTTTTCGTTTTAATCGTCAGTCACCAATAGATAGTAATTTTATGAAACTTGAGTTCTTTGTTCATAGGAATTTTTGCAATCTCTTCTCCTTCTAGCTATCGAACCCTGTCTTTTGCCTGTAATCCATGGCGATGTGTATCTTTGTGTTTACATGTGAGTATTTGCTCGTATGAAGAAGATTCAATATTTTTTGTTCTATTTATCATTTGTTTTTCCTGACATGAGAACCTAAATATGCATTGAACTTGTTTTGGATACATTGTTGAGCTAATTGTCATTTTTTTTTTATTTAAAAAAACTGGATACTCTTAATTGAGGTGAAAGATAGTTTTATTTGCCGCACTGGCAAACGTTTTCAAGATTATCACCATATTATATTCGTCTTTTAAATCAAAAGTCGAAAGCTGTGCCACTTTCAGTAGAACTGAGACTTCAATTAGCTGAATAGTTTGTTTGCGGCTATCAATTGCAGGTCGCGTGGGGAAAAAATTCAATGGTTGATTCTGAAAGACAACTTTTAGCAAATGCACTTTATGATCCAGATAGCTAGCATTTTGAACTACTTTCACACAGGTTGCTACAGAACATTCTTTTGTCAGGTTTTCAAGTTGGTGTATTTTTGCAGCTTGTTTTTATTCAAATGCTAATTTAGGTGTGTTCTTTCTTGGATTGCAGCTGCATACCGCTTCGAGATTTTGATTATGTTAGCTTTGAACATTGGTAAGTTGCAATTTCCTTGGGCGTACTATTTTTTTACGATAGGTGGCTATACATTTTTTATTATGTGTTGGGGTTTTAATTCTCTTGGTTACCACATAAGGTATAGAAGGTGTGGAGTTCAAATGTTGAGGTTTTATTATGTTTCATTGTTGACTAGAAGTATTTTGGCTTGTTTATAGAGTTTCTGTTGAAAATAACAATTTTTTACTTTCACATGAACTTGTTCGAAAGTCTTCAAAAATTTTCACCCAAATGTAGTCATGGGCCTCAGCGATGATACACATATACTATACCATTAAAGTTTTGAGACAGTCTGTGGTGGATGAAGGGGTCTTGGATGAAGGGGTCTGTGTTGTGTTGAGAGTGAGTTAAATTGTGCTATCAGACATGATTAGGCTAGATGCAAGACTCAGTCAAAAATATAATTAGGTAAATTTACTTGACAGACTGAATCTAATGGATGACATAGGAAAAAGAAATATTCGATTATTTAAATTTAACATGAGCTTCTCATTTATGTATGGGCCATGTTCATTAGATGTGCTATGTTTTGCATCACTGGACTAGAAAAAGTGCGATTTTATCTTTGTTTTTACCTTCAGGCACTAATTGGGCAGTATGCAATACCCATTCTCGAAGAGAAATCTGTTTTGGGCACTGCAGCTCCTACAATAATAGCATACATGGACACCCAGGTAAAATGATGTGGATTGATATGCTCTTGATATCAAAATGGGCGAGAAAAAAAAAAATCTGTGCTTGGCACTCTACTGATGCTTAGAGTCCCAACATGTATCATGTTTATCAAGATATAGCCCAATTAACATTTATAGCTCTGCGCAATGAGAATATCACTGGAAAACTTCTCACATTTGCTGGACGTCGTGTCTGGACTACCCAAGAGGTAATAGAAAGTGTGTTGAATGTTTAAAAGAACATGCCACTTTGTTCTAAAAAATATTTTGCAATCTCTTTGTACTTTGTAGTCTATATACTCAGAGTTATGCTATTTTCTGCCCATAAAACTTGTGACCATGCATGCTTACGGAGGATTATAACATTTCATTTCGGTTTGACAGACATTAGGGGAAGTTGACCCCTGCCTGAATTGAAATGGAATGATTCATAGAGCAAAGTTTGCTAAGAAACCTTTTTCTAGCTAATGCATAGCTACTCTGAAGCAAGTTCTTGTCAGACTTAGAATCATCCACTAACCTAGAAACAGTATATACTTCTTTTAGGTAGTAAACTAACTTAAGATTAGGTAAAAGTTTTTTAGTAGGTAAATTCTGTAGCAACTTATAATATTCTTCTAGTGAGATGACATGCTCAAGATGTGAAATTTACTCAGATGTTCTAGTGAGATGACATGCTCAAGATGTGAAATTTACGCAGATGAGAAAATATTTTCCATAAGTACCCCAACTCTAATTTAGAGTTCAGTTTGAAATCAAATGTGTCTTGGTTATATGTGATAGCCTTGTGTGAAAGGCTTGCAGGTGAAGATGCAAATGTCGCCACTGTCCCCGTCTATTTGAATGGACCAACGACGTTGTTGATAGATTGGCATTCTCAGAGGTACAACCTTTTTTCATTCTTTATTATCGATACTCGTGATATGTACGATTCCAATCATCATGATTTTACACGCTGGAGATGCTTTTGCCGGTGATGCCAGTAGATATAGTTACATTCATGCGGCTAATTCATGATTCTTGGAGTTTTGATGTTGTAGTTACCATAACGAAAAGGAATTTTTCCTTTGGTTTCTTTCATAGGCTCTTACAAGTGTTTTGTTTTCTCGGCCCCAGTGGACGAGACGTACAATGTGCTTGGCGTGGAAGCGAAGGATATCAGTTCCCTAGATAAATATCTGCACGATTATTCAAAATTGTTTTATTAGACAATGATGTGGTTTCTTTTTATTATGTTATTGGAATTTTTCAACATTTTATTTATTTTGTATATTTATTGTGGATATTATCATTTTTCGAGTTTTATTATAATAACTTTTGTTTCACTATGGAATCTCTTGTATGGAGATGGAAATTATTATATGTGTAACTAATTTGACACAATATTGTTGCCCATTTCATAATAACGATGCATGAATAATGTGTCGCATATTGATATTTCTTAACACCCATATTTGTGTCACCAAAAATTATAACGACACTTAAAAAAGCGTAATGTATTGAAAATTGCCAACAATACGATTTTGAGTCACAATAATTCATATTAATGGCGCTATAAAAAAAGCGTCATGCATCGTAATAATAATGACATGCTCAAAAAAGAGTCACCCAATAAAAATTACTTACATTAATAAATTGTGTCACTAAATTATGTACTAACGACGCACTTTTGAAAAAGTGTCGCGCATTAATGATTACCTACGCATCTAGGTTGCGTCACCAATAAATTCGTGACATTAAATTTAGCAACGCAACTCGTGACATTTTTGCAAGTGTGGGTAAATTTATTTGTGACACTAATAAATGTCACTAAATAAAAAAAATAAACGCACTAAATACAGATTTTGTTGTAGTGATATTGGTAGTTGTTAGAGAGATTTTAATTTTATACTAAAATAGTATTTAAAATAAAATAATTAAAGTTAACTTAATGAAAAAATAGGAGAGAGATGATGTGAAATAATGATTTTAGAAATGGTAAAGGAGGTAAGGGCGTCCTGCGAGGGTTTTTATAAGCCAAGAAAAGAAGTAATCCGACAGTTGGGGGGCACACGCATTAATAGATCAGGTTTGTGTATAAAATTTTATAAGACGTGCACACTTGGGCGTGCGATTGGAATCTGAGAAGGTAAGACGTCTCTTTTGGTGTCTCACATTCTCCTAGGTTGTGTGACAGAGCATTAAATACAAAGGAGATCAGATACAAAGGCTTAGTAAAAAGTTACATTTTAGCACAAGTCATAGTAGCTCGTTCTCAAAATAGCTCGACAGACCAGCTTGAGCAGGTAGCTCGGGTAGCCAAAATCAAAATGCCCTAATTTCCAAATCAAAATGCCCTAATTTCCAAAATCAAAATCCCTAATTTAACTAATAAGATAAAACTGAAAACTGAAAATTGAAGCACGAAGCACGAAGCACGAAAACTGAAAACTGAAGCTATCATATTTCGCCCAATTTCATTTCAGAAGCACGAAGTCACGAGAACTGAAAATCCTAATTTCAAAATTAACTATATAAAGCGACTATAACATAACGAATGAATCGACTATAACTATATACCAGATTCGAATAGTACCTTATATGTCTTCAAGATGAAATTCGCCGCAAGTTAGAACCCTAAATTGTCGAATTTCAGGGATGGAATTGGGTGCAACTCCTCAAACGATTTGAATTTAGGGTAAGGGGCTTCAATTTTGATATGAATTTAGGGTGCGGGGCTTCAATTTTGATATGAATTTAGGGTGTGGGGATTCAATTTTTCGAAGGTCGATCTGATTTTTCGTTAAATGTTCAAAAAACTTTAGGGTTTAGGGAGTCGATCGTGAAGAGAGAGAGAGTTATGTTTCTGGTTGAAATTGTAAAATATAAAATATAAAAAAGGACATAACGGAAAGTTTACAAAAACATTAACGGGGTTAACACTCAAACGTAACTTGGGGAGCGTCAGCTCGTCAACCCTTAATAGAAGGGGACTGACGCAATTTTTGAATTAGAGAGGGGAAAGACGCAGATTTATGATAATACAGAGGAGTTTGGTGCATTAAACCCTTTAATTTCTCACGATATATTCAATATATCGCGATAAATTCAATTTATCATAAATATATATATATAATATTCAGAATGTATAACGAGACTTTTGAAAAAAAACTAACGCCGTTAAATGGAGAATGGAAAAAAGGGAGTATGTGCAGCTGGTAGTTAAATACAAGAGGGTCTGACGTAATTCTTAAAATACCACGGAGAAAATGGGCATATTTCGTATAATACAAGAGGATTTAGTGGGCCCCATCGCATATTCAGCTACTTTTACTTATTCACTGGGCTTTGTGGGCCCCATCGTACCTGTTGATTGGTAGTTTAGTCCAAGTCCATTTTCCTCTTTTCTAGGCTTGATAGTTCATACTCTGCACATTCGTGTATCCAGTTGACCTAGTCAAATTTCATTTTCCTTGTTACCAATTTTATTCGATCTTCTATTTTTTACTTGCTTTCTTTATCCGTGTAATCCGTGAATCAGTCTTAAAAAGAAGCTAAAAAGTTATTAATCGACATTATGATGTTAGGTTATTGATGGCAAATTTTGAAGCCTTTTTTTTTCCTTTTTTTTTTCAACATCAAATTTCCTTAAAAAGAAAACTCAGAATGTACATATGCATAGCCAACAGGCTACAAATTAAACACCTTACCTGACAGACCAGATAAGAGTTAACACGAGGGATTACACAATGAACTCCCTACACAACTAACTAGGCCAAACAAGTTAAAAAAAAAGCAAAAACTACAAACTAAGTTCAAACCACATCAATTTTCCTCCCAGCTAAGCACAGCTACAAAGGAACAAGAATTAAAGCAAGATATTAAGCCATAAAAATCTTGTGTCAATGTAACATCCCCACGGATAACATTTTGTCTTTCCATAAGTTTGCTTTTGAGATGTTCTTCATTGACCTGAATTTACACCTTCAATTTCTGATATGTTTGTAATGCTATTTTTACATTGATGAAGTATACTTCGAATCATTCTCTTTTTGACCTAAGAGCTTCCTTGAATTCAATTATGTACTAGTACAATACTCGTGTACTACATGGGTGTTGAATTAAAAAATATATTATAAAAGTTATTGGTAAATAAATTTTTATTTAAAAATTTTAATGGACTAATTAATTAAAAAAAAAAGAGAAATAGACAGAGCAGAAAGTGATTTATAAATCATAATTTAAGAGAAAAATATGGGAGGAATTATAAGATGATAAATTGCTACGTACCAAAATTAAGAAAGAAATTTGTATTAAAAGAAAAAAATAACAAAATTAAATTTACCAAGTTTGAATAAGAGGAAAAAAATAATAAAATTAAATATNATGAAACTTAGTGGCCATCTCTGTCGGTCCTCCATTCAATATGGATAAAATTTATTTGAGACTTGGTTGCTTTTGAACTTTGATTTGGAAAATGTCTTGATAACTGACGAAATTGATTTTATTTTAAGATGATTTTTGGTTTCATCAATTTTAAAGTCTTATCATATGTATTGAATTAAAACTATTATTCATGAAGAACACTGAAAAATCTTATGTGATTTATTTTTGTTTGATTTTACTATGTTGCTCCTTTCTTTTTTTGCTCTAATCTCTTCTTTTTGTTTTAAACCTTTTTTTTGTTTCTCTTACCATTTACCCCAATGTGTTTGAGACTAAAAAACTACTCCCTCCATTTTGAAATATAAGGCGTATAAAGATTTCTCATTTTTTTTGAAATATAAGGCGCGCTAAAAAATCAAGACAAATTTTTGCATTTTTTTTTTCAAATATACCCTCATTGTGTTGAAATTAAGGAAGTGTGGAGTGGTTGTGATTAGAGTAAATAAGGTTAATTTAGTCAATTTATTCATTAATTAATGTCTCCTTAATATTTGTGCAATAACCTTAAATACCTTATATTTCAAAATGGTGGGAGTACTATATTGTTGTTGTTGTTAAAATTTATCTGCATTACTGCCTCGAACTATTCCCTTCTAACTGTCATAATTCTCATAAATTATTACGTACTTCTATTAATTATTGTAGGTTAGACCGTTTAGAGAGTCGTGATGGAGGGGTTTGATTTGATCAGTTGCTTATAAAATTCACACTATCTCTAATAATATGTGATCATAATTAGTAGATAATAAATGGTCTCATTCTCCATGAATTTACATGAAATATGTGATCGACAAAATATATAAATATACTTTTATTTGGCCAATAATATATATATATATATATATATATTAATAATTAATTAATTAATTGTCGATTTATATTAGGAATTCAAATCTTGTTAATATAAATAATCCTCTTAATATTCAAATCTTGTTAATATTAATAATTAATTAATTAATTGTCGACTTATATTAAGGGGACTTATATTAGTATTTTCTACATATAAATAACAAAATACTAATCCCCTTAATATAATTTCAAAACGTGCTGAGCTTAAATGGTTGGCTCGCACGCTTCGAAAACTTACTTGACACATTACATGCTTCGCCTTTTGATTCGAATAAAAAATAATACAATTATATTCCAAAATAAATAGAATTCTTCAACTCATTCTTATCTCCTCTAACCTTTCTCTACCTTATTTAAATCACCATCCCTACAAAAATTACACGGGTTAAGAATCCTATACCATCTGAATATCACGACTGCCTTATGTGCCCTCCACTAGATGTGGTCGAGCCCGGACATCATAAATGAAAGGCCTTTCAAACCATGGGATCATTATGTGCATCCCTTCAGGATAGTCTTGCATGTTCCCAACATATATGGAATAAATTATTGGAAAATGCTACAATCCCGTTACGGAACCATTCCGTTGGGATTATAACCGTTAGATCATCAAGTAACCGTCAATGATAATTGATCTAACGGTTACAAATCCCAACGGAATGATTCCGTAACGGGATTGTAGCCTTACCCTAAATTATTAAATCTTCATAAATACAGAGATGGGTGCAAACTAAACAAACCATCAAATAATCACAAGTATTGACGATGGAAAATTGATTTAATAAAATAAATAATATTTCACAAAAATATATTTATAGTTTTTTAATTCAAAATAAGAATTTTATCTTTTTTCACTTTTTATTGGACAATTAATTTTTTATAAAAACACTCGTGTAGTATACTAGCGTTATACTAGTCGAAATTATTGTGGAATTTGACAATTTTTCTGGTTCAGAATTTACTAATTTACAAATCTCTCAAGAATTATGTGTTGTAGTAAATACGTTTATAGAGAAAATTGCACCCTATCCATGACCCGCTGTTCGGGCCAGTTCAGGGTCATTTTCGGGCCGGTTCAGTGGGCCGGGCCGACCCTGACCACTCTAGTTGTAAATTTGAATCGGACAATAGAGAAAGAATTAGGATTAAAACCCGAACGAAACTCTTTCGGATAGATCCTCATCGACGCTATCCTTATTCATCCTCTCCGTGCGAGCTAGTTAGCAATGGAGATGGCCATAGCCACCGTAAATCAAGTACATTTTGCCCCTTACACGAGGCCATTAGCCACCAATTTCACTGCTGGTTCTGTTTCAGCTCTCGGTTTTGCTATGCCTGCCGGTACTAAATCTCAAGCTCTCACGCGCTCCAAACGCGGCCGACGTTTTATCACGCTTGCTTCAGTTGCGCCGGTCGAGGAGAAGACCGAAACAAAGACTGCTGTCATCAGAATTGGCACCAGGGGAAGGTGAAGTTACTTCGTTACCCCAATTTGTTCTCTTAATTTTGTTAGTTGAGTTGGTGAAGGGGACACTCGTGCTCATTTCGAATTCATGTGCGTTTGGATTGTAATGCATCTATTGATTTCGTGAGCTGCAATCAGTTTCCATGGAAAGTTAAATCATTACTATTTTGATGTTGCATTTTTCTAGTTTTTGTTTGTTTCTGTCTGTTGACATATCATTACCAGCTAAATCTTCGTATTATTGTATGCTTTCTCCTCATTGTTGAATTGCTACTGCTGATCAGAACACTGCACTTTGATCATTGCATATGTGATTTATCATATTAGTGTTCCGAAAACCTTCAAACGGACGTTATTTTAATTTTTCAATCTATGTAATCAAAGGGTGTTAAGATTCTTTACTGAATGGCTTCATCTTCCTATTATTTGTAGGACAGCCCACTTGCCCTTGCACAAGCTTATGAAACCCGAGACAAACTGATAAATTCGCATCCCGAGCTAGCTGAGGATGGGGCTATCCAAATCGTGATCATTAAGACGACTGGCGACAAAATCTTGAGTCAGCCGCTGGCAGATATTGGTGGGAAGGGCCTATTTACCAAGGAAATAGACGAGGCTCTCATTAACAGTGATATCGATATAGCTGTACACTCCATGAAAGATGTCCCCACATATCTCCCTGAAAAGACGATACTTCCCTGCAACCTCCCTCGGGAGGATGTCCGTGATGCTTTCATCTGCCTGAGTGCCAACTCTCTAGTCGAGCTGCCAGCAGGAAGTGTTGTAGGCACGGCTTCATTGAGAAGGAAGTCGCAGCTTCTGAATAGGTATCCATCCCTAAAGGTAAAATGTCATTTTGTTATTAATTTGTTTCTCGTTCATTAGTGAGACATTGTGTAATTATCGTTTAGTAAGTTAGAGACTATTATTTGTTTACCTTGAGTTTGTTGTTTAATATGTGTTTCTCATTTTACACAATTCTGATGTGGTNTCATTGCCTCTGATTATAGAATTGGTTCAGGTTCCATGTGTTGACGTTTTCTGATCCTTTCCCCTAATTGTGAGCTAACGAAATTATATCTAGCTGCAGCCTCTTCAGTAGTGTATATTTTGTTTCTATTATATATTTGTTTTAACGAATAGGAAATGATCATATCAGAAAAATTTCATGTTCATAGACTGTAATTTAGTGCTTTAGTTATATTCCAACAATGAAAGGGTTGTGCAATCACAAACTCGCCATTAATTAACGTTCTAAAAGTCGTTAGCCGTTTGTTAGGTACCAGGATGGGGCATAGTGCCCTAGGCGGGGTAGTGAAAATTTTAATAAATTTATTTGTAGTTGTCATCATACATAATTCACAAAATATATTATGTTGCATATACTAATTGATATAGTCAAATACAAAGATTGGCTATAATATTATATACTTATAACTACTATATTAACTTTAACATGATTATTATTTTTTTAATTTCATTATGTATAAAAACCAAAATCTACTTTATTATATTTCAATATAAATTCAATTTATATAAAAAAATACAGGTGTCTAGGTGAATAACTTTGCAGCCTGGGTGCAGCCTAATTCCTAGTCTGGTTTTATTAACACAGCCAATATTAACAAATCAATACTTTTAACTTCTAAATTTTGAATCACAGTACTCTGTATTGTTTATTGGCATGGAGGGTCTCGATGCAGAATTCTTAAGGATTTTAGAAATATATCTCTAAGGTCTGACAATGGACCTGCATATAAATACAGAGAAGTTTGTATGTTACTAGAACCTATCAAGTTTCGTTAGATCCATCCAACAAACTGTTGCATATTCTCGTATTAAAATACGGCCTCGTCACTTCTTTTACATTCTACTGGTTTGCTTTAACAACTCAATGATTCATTTATAATGGAATATGCACGTTTTACCTTTTAAAATTGAAATGCATAATTCTCTAGGTGCTGGAGAATTTTCGAGGAAATGTCCAGACAAGGCTAAGAAAGCTGAATGAGGGGGTTGTCCAGGCAACACTACTTGCACTAGCAGGTTTGAAGCGCCTAAACATGACAGAAAATGTGACTTCAGTACTATCCATTGACGAAATGCTTCCTGCTGTGGCCCAAGGGGCAATCGGGATTGCATGCCGAAGTGATGATGAAAAAATGGTNTTTGACATGGAATTGTTTTTCTAATTTTATTATCATGAAATAGAAATTGCATGGGTCCTTTAGGAGTTTTTCGAGGCAACTCTTTCAGTTTATGTTACTGTATGACTGAACTTTTTTCATGCCTACAGGCTACTTACCTGTCGTCCTTGAACCATGAGGATACAAGACTAGCAGTCGCATGTGAAAGGGCATTTCTGGCAAAATTGGAAGGATCTTGTCGAACACCGATAGCTGGGTATGCCCGTCGAGATGAGGACGGTAATTGTGTTTTTAAAGCACTTGTGGCATCCCCTGATGGAACTCGAGGTATAATAACTGGGGACACTTCATTTATTACATTTTCTGAGATTATTACGAAAACCATCCGTCTTGTGCATAATACGTTTTGGAAAATAGTTGAGGAATTTCTCTGTTTGTTATGGTACTTGAGGACTTCTAAATACAACTTTGCTTTTATTGGAGAAAATGAATGATGTTGAGTTATTTGATAAGTACGCAATGTGTTGAACTGATTTTGTTTGTTATGCAGTACTTGAAACCTCGCGAAAGGGCACGTATACTTATGAAGATATGATAAGGATGGGTGTGGATGCTGGTGAGGAACTTCTGTCAAAAGCAGGTCCTGGTTTCTTTGATCAATGAGCAGTTGACCTATAAAATAATGGTGATTCTGATATATGATTATTTGGTCCCTTTTGAGGTTTAGCAATTAGGCTGTAGTGCCTATGTGGTTTTTGTGAGTTCTAGCAGGAAAGATTT